AGAAACATGCCTTTCGACCAATCTGCACGCGCGTACTATAAACGTCTCGAATTATCCTTTTTTCGTTTATTGTCGGCATTGTTTTCTTAAAATAGGACGGAACAGTTCCAGAGGAAACAGTAAAATTTGGTCAGGAAACAATGTACCTTTGTACATGGACACAAAGAAGACAGTATGCGTCATTTAAAGAACTTCTTGGGCCTGGAATAAATTTGCATTTGAAGGTAATACTTGTGTTATACATGCATGCGCCCTTATCTGGACTGTTAACATGATATTCTGCACTGTGTAATATACGCTTTGATGTACCAGAATAAGCAAATCCGTTTGCCGAAGACAACAAGTCTCGTCTCGCCTTTTTTTTAAGACTTTTATACCCTATGGCTAAAATTGACAATCGTTTAGATAACAAGTTACAACCACTTAATCACGCAGTTGCTTTCCACATTCTAAGCTTTCATTGAAAATTCCTTGTTTTTTTCTTTTCTCTTGAATTCCAATGCTATATTATTCCCTCTTAAAATGCTTAATTATTCCCTCAACTCATGCATTTCATTAAAATAAAGTTACTTATTCATTGAAGGTTTCACTCGTTCATTAAAGGTTAATCTCATTCCTTGAAGGTTTCACAAATACATATTCTGCGTTGTAGGAGAATCCATTATTACGGGATATCTTCGAATTAGGTCAACCTGTTAAATTGGATACCAATGGAAAGGCGTCGAAGAATCGGAGGGTAAAATTAAAAAAATATTATTAACTTCGCGAAATTACTTTGGAGAATACTTTCTAATATAACCAGGGGCCGGTTGTATCAAGCCCGTTTAGCTTAAACGGCGGATAAGTCAAAATTAAATAATACTCTTAGCTACATCTCTCTTGAATGAGTCAACTTGAATATATTATGCACTGAATATGAAGTTGTAAACAGTATGTTAAGAACATTTAGTTTGCTTCTTGAATAAAACGATAGACTTGCTTTCTATTTTGAACTTAACCACCGCTTAAGCTAAACAGGCTTGATACAACCGGCCCTACCGCCCCAGTATGGCAGGTTCTTCAAAAAAACGTTTCGTCAAATCATTTACTTCCATGTTTATAACCAAAAAGTAAACAATAAGTTTGTGTTGTCACCTTTATCGCATTTGGCGTTTGTACAGTTAATTTCTTGGTCCCCATTTAATCGTCCTCATTATAATATTCTCTTATTTAATGATAATCCACAATACAAATTGATAATTCCCAGTATAAGTGTTACGTGCTCGCTCTCAGTGTTATCAATCCTCTCCCTATTTATAGCCCGGCTATTGTCCCTCACTATCTTGTGTGTATGTCTCTATTTCAAGTTACATGATGACGTAACTACTACATTCATAAAGCCTGTTTTCGAAACACTAAACGAATTTGTTCGCGCGAGCTGATAAAAAGTAGAAAGCGGTTCACTATTTTTTTTATACTATTTCTCTCTTTAATTGTTTAGAAATTGTATAACAATGCAGCATCAAAAGCAAGAACGATTTCCCGTGGCAAACATCGTGATAAGAGAAGTTTTGTTCATTAAGTTTTAGTATTTAATTAATTATATTTGTAGGAAATATTTAGGTACTTTTTTTAGTTTAGTGAAACCTGAAAGAGATGTATAAAAAACGCAATCTTCTCCTTGAACTTGTAATTTTCGAAAGATTTTTCCGGTCCAACTTTTAACTTGCATATTGCATAATGCATATTATATAGGCTATACCTGATTGTGTACAATTAAAATGTCCCAATGGGGACACGGCACCCTATGATTTGTATATCCTACTTTATCATCATTTATACAGGGTGAGTAAAAAAAACCTGATTAGTTCAAAACAAGTTCAATTGGTTTAAACACTTTTGCATTAATTAACCACGTCCTGTTTGTTGTTGCGGCTAATTTGACTTTCAAAGGTGTCAGGGTTTTTTTACTCACCCTGTATACTGAGTTTTAGTTTTGTTTCTTCCACCATGGCGAAATTTTTAAGATGGAAAAGAATGTTATGCCTCTTCTGAAATCAGTATAAAAACTTTTCATACTTCATATATGACAAGATGAACTATATATTAATAGACTTGAACTGGCCTTTCTCGAGATGATATTTCCTCAACAGTTATGAAACAATTCTAACAATGTGAAAACCCATTTTTCATTATCAAAAAATAATTACTTGGACTAACCCTAAACACTATAAATACCTATAGTCGCAGAGTGAAGGCTCTACCGGCAAACGTGAAAAAGTACCCTGCCATGCATCGTACGATAGGCCAATTTCAGTTGAACTTCCACCTATAAAAGCAAATCCCACGCTCAAAATGTTCATTTACATGTCTTGCGCTATACAGCGATCAAATGGAAACTGTAGGATTTTGTAAAAGATACTGATGCACGAAATTTGTGAATATCCGTAAAAAATGAGCATTTAGAGTGCATGCATAAGATGGTTGCGTTTTTTAAACATCCTGGTCTGTGTACACGATCCAATTTTGTCGGATCAATAACAAACTATATTCCATACGTCAGAAGTGAATTGTTCCGACAAAATTGGAACGTGTGAACGGCCCTTTATTACTTGACACGACGTTAAATGGCGCAGAAAAAATGTGATACTACCTCGAACGTTGCACTGTCGTGTATATTTCGGACTTGTATGTATGTATATCTCACTCATTTCAATTGAAAATTTTCTCCAGTTTCCACTTGTTCTTCGATGTGACTGGGTCTTGGTTTAAGGCACAACTTAATTGTGTGGCCAGCATCGATAAGTGGGGGCGACATATTTATATATTCATGTTTAGTGACCGTTAAAAACAATCAATTTAATTAAACACCAATATTTGAACGCGAATTTAACAATTTTTCAATAAAAATGGCATTTATTATTTCATCAAAGTACTGTTTCGTGGCGTCTTTTGATTTCGTGCAGGAGAGGTCGGCAGATTTTTAAAGGCATTTCTAGCTTGTCCATCGATGTCAGTTTTTTGGGATGATAATTTCGAGTGAGGTCACTACGACAAAATGGACGGAATCGGGTTATTCGGGTGACAGTCAAGGCATTAATGCTGACTCGTCCCCAGTCGCTTTGGTGTTACGCAAACAAATAATTATAATGAAATTATATAATGGCGCGTCAACGCGCGGAGGAACGCGCGGAGGGTAATGGGAAGGCGAAGGTCACTGATCTATAAATATCACTACTGATCAATAAATGTCCAACCACTGATCTATAAATGTCCAACTAAGGGACTGCGGAGGAGTCAGGCATTAATGGTGATAAATATCCGTTGATAAGACGACAAGGTGTGAACACGCTTTGCATAAATTTGCTCGAAAAATTCGACTACATCCACTACGTTAAATGAGGTCTAAGATTGTATATTATATATCTCTCGACTCAGTAAAGTGATTGATTTTTTATATAACATATTTAATAACGGTGTCGTTAACTTAGCTATTTACAATTATTGATAAGAAAAAATGTTAGAAACACTGTAATAATGTATATTATACAACACAGTATACAAAACTCAAAAGTTATAATGCATAACGAATGAGGCGCGAGGCGGTATTTATTATAGGAGCAGTTTCAATTAAACACGACATTACTTGTGGTTGGCAAATAATCCGTAAGTTTATTTAATCATGACTTATTATCACTATACTGAATATTATCTGCATGGTATGAATAAGTGACACAAGTAAGAAAAGGTCTAGGGTTGCTGGGTAAAGTATTTCAAATCACATTTGCCTCAATCGTGAACCGGCTGCGAGTGCTTAAACGAACTCTGTCTCTGGGTCTCTGCCACGAATTATAGTTTGTTGAAGCCGCGTGCACGATCACAGAATCCAATGCATAACGAATGAAACATACAATAAAAATAAACGCTATAAAAAATCTATATTTTTGTATAATTATGTAAAAATGTATATTTATGGTATAAATAGTAAAATAGGTTTTGGCGACTTGCGATATATTATTGCGACTCACTTGAAACGTAGCTAGTGCAGTTAAAGGACTAATTGAAACAAGAATTAAGAATTTATGACGAATGTAAGAATTAAAGACGACCAGACGATTTAAAACGACAACCTTCATCCGACAACTCAGCGATGTTTGTCTGTAAATGGTAAAATTGATATATTACAGATTATACAAATTATTGTAAGTGGCCAAGGAAATGTATCAAAATGTCGCATGAGCCTACATTTCGAAGATACAACGATATTAGTATTACTGATTTAAAGGACGATTCGGTTCGAAGCGACGAGTTCAATTTGGTGGCACGCATGAATAGATCTAGATAGTCAAGATAATTATAAAACGGCGATTTGTACTTGAGTCTAGAGAATAATTTCAATGACAAAATATCTGTGAGTCTTTGAGGCCAATAATCGTTGAGCCAATAGCTGGGTTTCAGTCACGTGACAGATTTAGCACTTGGTGGTCGACTCCAGATGGGAAAATATTTATCAAATAGAGTAAGATATTCATCAGTGTAGGCTTTGACCTAATATTGAGTAGATGTTATGTGCAATTTAACAAAATTTGCACACTTCCAATATGTGTGAAGAACACATAGCCAAGTGTTTCGCTATGTATTAGTCTTGAGTGAAACCCACCTATAATGACAAATTCTAGCCAGGTCACCTCTCAAAAACCTTAACCAGCCGACAACCAAGTTTAAAAAAGTAAAGAGACGAACAAATTCTGAGTAAACCAGTGTTGCTAGATTACTGAATAAATTAGCCAAGTATATTACCATATTCGTTGTTTTCTTTGTTTGAAACAAAGAAATCAAAGGGCCGACTATAACAATATTTTGCTTAATATAGGAATAATATAAATGATTCAAATAGAGTCATCTTCAGACAGTTCCAATTGCGTCTTGTAGAACTCATATATTGCATTCTCAAGATGTCTTAGTACTCGGAACTTGTTTAATTTTACCCCCCAGTCCCGGAGCTTGGCCATGCATGCCCATAGCAGAGCATCGTTTTTCTCTCTCCAGCCTAGTAGGCGATATAAAACGAAAACCATCAGCATAGCGGGACTACATCTTCAGGCTGACTATACGTTACTATTTGCTACAAAGTTAAAGGTACTAATTTTTATTGCATAGTTTGTTTAGTGTAGCAGCGCAAGAATCTTCAGAAATCGTTTGAATGACAAAATGTAAGTTTTCATTTAGTCCTTATGCTTATGTATTTCTTAAAATAACTCATCCAGTCGCTCGGTTGTAACATAATAAATAAAGGTTCGAAAAATTGTTCATTTTTTCCACAATCAGTGGAGGAAACTAAACTAATTAAAGATTAAGGAGAGAGCCTTTTTGAAGACCAGTTTTGTCTTGGTTACTAATTTAGGTTAAGACGAAGAGTTTTCTCATGTGCGTTATCACTGGTGATCATTGTTCAAACCGCATTGATAATTACAGTCGGATTTTTCCTGCCGAAGCTGAGCCGTGTATTCGTCGGAGTGTATGACAAGAATTTCATACATGTAAATAACATACATGCAATTGATAAAGGAACGCAACAGAATATTCTATATAAAAATGGTCTCCATAATCAAACAGCTGATATAGGATACCTTATCCCAAAGATAAGCGAAAGTTTTGGACGCAATCTGCAAATAAATTTCGGTGATGGTGTTCAATCAAAGCTGACATTTGATTATGCAGAATTGCATATCCCTGCAAAAATTAGCAGCTACTCAGGAAATCAACGAACAAACAGGTCAGAAACGTATAAAAAATACGTTTTTGTTCATTCATCGTACACAGAACAAATGTCAATGAGTATGTTAAGTGTTCTAAGTCTTTGTGGACAAGCCCAATTTGGTGGAAGGAGGGTTGTGAGACCATTTATTTTTAAATCCAGATTTGTCAGCACTGAAAATGGTAAATCATTGGGCACTCTTTTTGACTTGAAATACTTGGATGAATTATTAGACCATGCTGGATATGCACCCATGGTTAGTAAAAAGGAATACGTTTCTGAATGCAAACCAACGGATCCCAACCATGTGACTGTACATTTTCTTTATCTCGGGGATACGACGAAGCAGTGGAACAAACGTTATTTTAGAAATTTTAAAATGACGGACGAATATTACGACTCTATCTTCGAGAAGACAAAATCAAAAGGGTGGGTAGAATGTATGTTTTTAGACAAATCTATGGGTTTAGCTCCTAGCAAGAAACAATTCTGCATTAATCCAGCGATTATAAAAGATTGGAAAGTATTTGAAAGGGATATTGTCGGTGGAGCAAAATGTTTGAATATTTTACTATGGAGAGGAATAGGTGGTGGTGTGTATCGAAGCTATTTCACGGAAAATGATTTGAGATTTCCTCACTACGAAATTCATTTTGCCTTAAAACCAAGCGAGCCAGTCCAACAAGAAGTAGCGCGTTTTCGAAAAAGATTTCTACCTGATCGTTTTATAACAGTGTATGTACGCTCTGAATTTATACTTAAACCCCATGGATTTAATTTTGAATTTCTTAAAAAATGCATCGATGTTATTGTTGATGTTGCAAATGCACTTAAAGCAATGTCAGGGATATCCCATGTGTTCGTTGCATCTGATATGTCAAAGTACGGTTCTGCAGTGCTTTCTAACTACGCGAATAAAGCAAAAGAAAAAAATCCTTTTCCAGATATTTATAAATCTTTAATATCGAGAGTTGGCGGGACGGTTTATAACTACAACGCAACCTCCAGTTTTGTAACAGAACGTGATTCCATTGCGCTGGTTGATCTTACGCTTCTTACGCAAGCGCAGTATCTCGTGACAGCCGGAGATGAAACGATGTCTTCATTTGTTCGCTGGGTGGCTGGGAAATTTCTAGCAAACCACCGTGAAGATAAAGAGTTGTGGTCTAAAATTTCTGTTTGTAATAAATAATAATACTATACTAATTTTTATAGGCTTTATAATTATTCACAAAACCAGAATAATTATTGGCAACCCAGAATGTCTTCTGGATTGAAAGGCCTGGGGATTTTGTATAAAACTTTTTAACGACATTTTAACCGTTATTAGCTAAGTATATTGTACAAAATGTTAAGTGTGTAATATATTATTACCAGGTACGCCGGAACAGGGGAGGGCAGCTGCCCCCTTGCCTTTTACCAGCAGGGGCAAATGGGGAAGTACATGCACCCTTTCATTTCAAGGATTACTGAAAAACGTCAGGACACCGAAATCTTCTTGGAGTGATAAATCGTGATAAAACTATTTTCAACAGACGTTTTGCAAACATTTTCCATACATGCGCCGTTACCCTTTCATGGAAATGCTCCCTCGCTTCGTTCCGGCGTCCCTGATTATTACATTAAATTATTAATTTTTAAATTATTAAAAGTTAGGTCGAGCAAATGTTTTCTCCTTAGTAAAAATTTTCTTTGTCTTTGACATGAAAGTGTTGGATGTGTTGTTTTGTCTGTAAGCATTTGCCGCGACAAATTCCTCGCGGTACTTTTCTCTATTTAACGCAGAATAGTTGCCAACAAAAATAGAGCTAACGTCGGGCTAAAGCTCTTATCACCCAATCACTATCTTGGAGACGTGCATTTACCCATTCTCTGCACATGGGAGGAGTATCTATATGATAAAGCCTATCACTGCACACTATTAAAATCAGGTATGGCTTGTGAACAAATTGGAGAAACTTGTTTGTGCGTTTTTGCGTGTAAAGCTGGCCGCAGTAGCGCAGTCAGCGGTGGGGCACGTGTTTTCGGCATGCTTCATGTTCTTCATATGACATTCTCTTGTTCTGGTGATCGACTAATCGTGGTCGTTGAAATATTTTTAAATTCATTTAAAAGTGTTTTTGGGATGGTATTTTTCAATACTAATTTATCAAAAGATTACGTGAATTTGTAGAGCCATGTTTACTCTCCATCTTTTCCGGAGAATTAGGCCAGACGTATTAAGGCCAATTGGTTGGGTAAGTGCTCCAATAATTTGTGTCTATCACTTCATTTATATGTTGAGAAATTATTATGAATATTTACACAACGAGTGTTGTATTGTCATATATAAAAAAAATGAATTTGACGAAACGTCTTTGGATTCAAAATCTTTCCACAATACAAAAATGTACAAATCCACAAATAACATATTATAAAATATAAAATTTTTAGGTCTGCAGACCTTGCTTATCAGCATTTTCATCTGACTCTACAAAGGTACTGTGTAAGAACAGTCCAAAATCTGTGCCATTTTATTTCATCTTTCATATATTCTATTTCAAATAATTTGCTGTTATCAAACTACTAGAGTGTGTGCCTATTTTTTCAAACCATTTCAATTACATGGCACATAATTAAAACAGCAATTGTATTTTGTGTAACATTATATACTTATGGAAAATTGAAATCCGGTTAGGAAAATGTTGACCAGATTCGCAATATTGGAATTTCTGCTCACATTGACTCTGGGAAAACAACATTGACTGAAAGAGTGTTGTTTTATACTGGAAGAATAAAGACAATGCATGAGGTAATCTACATAATAATATATTTGAACGAACCAGGAATGTTCAGTTTGAGAATTAGAGTCTTTATTTTATGTTTTGAAATCCCAGGTAAAAGGTAAAGATAACGTTGGTGCCACCATGGATTTTATGGATCTAGAACGACAGAGAGGAATTACAATACAGGTAGGAATTCTATACTGTATCAGATCAATTATATTTGTCAGAGTGTTTTCTAGTAAATGTAATCTCAAAGTGATCTGTCTTTTTTGTTTCATTATAGTCAGCTGCTACGTTTGCTGAATGGAAGAATCATAATATAAATATTATTGATACACCAGGTCAATAAATGCTTTAGTACTAATAATGATTTTAAAATAAATAATATAAATTATGTATAGATTATAAAATTTAACGGCCTTTAATGCTTTAGTACTAATACCTACCATGCTTTAGTACTTACCCCAGGATGCTTTAGTACTAATTCCCACCATGCTTCACCGCCACTCCTAGCATGCTTCAACACTTTGTTGCGGATTCAAAAGTTTACACATTCACATGTATCCACTGATTCATTTGTGTTCGGAAACTTCTTGTTGCGGATTCAAAAGTTTACACTTCCAGATATATCCACTGATTCATTTGTGTTCGGAAACATCTTGTTGCGGATTCAAAAGTTTACACTTCCAGATTTATCTGCGAAAACGATACGTGGGTGCAGCTACTTTCTGACGCGGAAATTTTTTTTTAAGGTCATGTTGATTTTACTGTTGAAGTGGAAAGAGCTCTTCGTGTTCTTGATGGTGCTGTGTTGGTTTTGTGCGGAGTTGGAAAAGTTCAGGTATACAAGAAATGTTTTAAAATTAATAAACAAATTGGATAATTTTTCATGAGCAGTCAACCCATCCTTACAACTTCGAGGGGAAACTCTTCTATTTATTGGTTTTTGGATGAAGAGCAGGGAAGAGTCTTTTGGCCACTTTGAAAAACTCCGGTTCGAAATGAAAATTAAATTTAGGCCGCAAAATAGTAGAAATTCAGCGTACGTTTTTTAAAAATTATAGAGTCAAACATTGACAGTAAACAGACAGATGAAAAGATACAACGTGCCGTGCATTGCTTTCATTAATAAACTTGACAGGTGAACTCTGGATAATCGGCTCTTAACACTTTGAATGGATTCATTTACTGAATCAATGTTATTTATCATTGATAGGATGGGTGCAAATCATAAAAAAGTTCTTAGTCAAATGAGGTACGTGCTAGGTACTGTGAATGCACCATGCATTCATTTTATCCCGTTTGAAGAATTCAATTAATAATGTCCACAAAATCTATTTGTTATTTGTTGAATTTCTTTGTATTGATTTTCATGCAAGTATTCTGTTACTAAAAAAACATTCAATATAACTGTCTGGTGAAGTTTGAACAAAAAATTTTACATATGGAGTTTAAATGATAAAGTATGCATAAAAGGGCATCACACCAACCAACGATGGCCACTTTTTTATATTGCAGAGCAAAGTTAAATCACAATGCCGCGTTTGTGCAGTTACCAATTGGTTTAGAACGGAATCACACGGGTGTTGTGGATATCATTAGAAGGAAAGCTCTATATTTTGATGGAGAGTATGGGTAGGAAATATGAAAAGATATGATACGGAAAATTATGTTATAGATAATATAGAAACGATCTCGAGTCGTACTAGATTTCGAGTGGTGAAGCTCCCTTGTTCCGTTGTGTGTATCCATGTACCTGAGGTTGTGTGTTGTATTTTCATAGGAACAATATAAGAGAAGAGGTCATACCCGAAGATATGGTTCATGAAGTAAACGTTAGGCGAGAAGAGTTAGTTGGTAAATATAAGTCCCCAAAATGTGCTTCAAATCTCAAATTTCTCTATTGTTTTTTACATTTCCCCGGAAAGGAATCGTGTTTAATGTCCAATTTCCAAATCGGGTATCTTTTAGAGGCTGTTGCAAATGTTGATGATGGCTTGGGTGAATTATTTCTTGAGGAAATTCAACCAACGAGTGATCAGCTCATGGTGCGTCAATGTGGTTGAATATTAATTTAACAGAGTTTTTAGTTTGGAATTTTTAATTTCATTCGTTCATTTGCTCTCTATTAGAGATGCTATAGTTAAGCAAAAATTATACCTACATTTTTAAGCCATCCATGCACTTTCGTCATGCGGTAGTTATGATATTTCTTGAATGCTATATTGATCATTAAAATAACTCGCGGGCGTAGCTAAAGCAGAGAGCTCTACATGTATCAAATGTCTCCGCATCGATAATCCACAACATGAATAGGAATTTTTGCTTAGTTTTTCTTGTAAATAGAAAAGATGTTTGTTTGTTCGAAGTTCAAAGTTTATTTATATTCAAAGGGATTCAAATATTTCCGCGCAGGAGACCGAAACTGACGTACTATAGCGCGTCAATTTCCGTCATCTTTGGCTTCACTTTTTGGCCTCACGAAAGTCTTAAGTCTTATTCCAGATACATGTGTAGCTCACTGGGCTAAAAGGAAAAATTAATTGGATCAAACTGTCGCAAACCATTTTCTTGAATGCATTTTTTCATTGTAGTCTGCATTTTTTCATTGTAGTCTGCTATTCGACGGTCGACCATCAAAAGGTTGTTTACACCTGTTTTTGTTGGTTCTGCTCTGAAGAATAAAGGCGTACAAGTAATTTTATGTTATAATCAGTATGTTGACACAAAATGTTTGAATCACGAGGTAGCCCTGTACACGTTACGCCAAATTATGCGAATTATTATAATACGCATGATAGTGCGGCTACACTTTTACTTAAAACTCTTATTAACGAGTAATTTTAATTCGTTTAATTAGATTATGTAAAGTAGTTAAATGTTGTTTGGTGTATAATTCTTTTTATCCATAAAATTCTCATATCTATCTAGCCTTTACTGGATGCAGTTGTTGACTATTTGCCGAGTCCTCCGGATGTGGCAAATTTTGCTTTAGATCCTGAAGAGTAAGCATAATGATTAATCAGTTTATTTCAATGAGGTTTTTACTTTGTGATTAATATAATGATGCATATTTAGTTCAGATAGAAAAATCTTGATGGATTCATCAGGTGATGGTTTAAATCCTTTTGTTGGCCTGGCATTCAAACTTGAGGTAAATCCCGTCCATTTGTATCATCAAACCCATGCATTTTGACTATTTAAAATGTTCATGTTAGGAGAATTTTTAAACATGATATTTTTGTTTTCCTAGGCTGGAAAATATGGTCAGTTGACTTATGTAAGGGTCTATCAAGGTTCTCTGAAGAAGGGAACATTTATTTTCAATACGAGAACTGGGAAACGTGTTCGTGTTCCCAGGATCGTGAGAATGCACAGTGATGTCATGGAGGTTTGTACACAAAACTTTATCAACAACGTTGTTACATGTTCGAATATAATGCTGTCTATACTACCCCCTATATCTATACGTCGCTCACGCCAGAGTAATTATTTGTTGATAACACATTAGTATCATGTCTAGTGTCTAGTGTCATTCGACCAATTCAAGAGATGAGCGAGAATTTAATTTTTTGTAGGATGTAAGTGAAGTAAGAGCAGGGGATATTTGTGCGTTATTTGGAATCGACTGCGCATCTGGAGATACCTTTACAGCTGAAGGAGCTCAAAAAATGTCAATGGTACATTGTTTACATAATTTTTTTATGGCAATGCTCTCTAGCTGTCTTTATACGAACTGAAAGTAGAACTTATCTCCTAGCTGTTCTTCAGATTATAATCAACTACACTGGGCTGTTAGATATCATGATTTCATCCATGCATTTGCACTTGATAGGAACCGATATTTGTGCCTGATCCAGTTATATCTCTTGCCGTAGAAGCTCAAAATAAGGTATATTTTTATGCTTGGATATGTCTCGACTCTCGAGTACATTAGCATTTGCAGATTTGAAAATGTGGCTTAATGACTTAAAAATGTGGCTATATGACCTAAAAAGTAATTGAATCATATGCAGTGGTGGCGAAAATGGTGGTGGTGGGGGATTAATATTATTATATTGGTGTTAGCAGACCGTAAAAACAATATATTTCAAAAGGCTGAACGTGAATATATGAATGTTTCCTCTCATTTAACGATCGTTCGCCGCCACTGATATTTTCTTTTGTTGTGTAACTTGTCTTTCATCTTTTTACCACATGATTTTGTATAGAACGACCTGGATGCATTTTCTAAAGCGATCAACAGATTTACAAGAGAAGATCCAACTTTTAGAGTACATTTTGACGACGAGAGTAAAGAGGTGCGATCATGCACTGTGCATGCGTTAGCTACATGATATGACAAATAACGATATGCCCTCTAACGATATAACGCTATTTTACTCCCGAATTATGGCGTTTCACATGTATGTTTGACAAACTAGCTGTCAAACGTTAGGTCAGCAACACTTGCTCACTGCTCACTGCTCAGGTTTTCACCGCCTTCAAGGAATTAGTTAAAGGGATCCGTAAGTCATCCATTTGTGGATGACTTTTAAATGAGCTTTTAAACAGGCACTAACTATCCGAACTAACTCTCGGAAACTTGGACTTTTTGTCGCAAATCCTGTCCACGATCTCCCCGTTGTTGGAATCATAATATTAAATTTTACATTCAGACAATCATATCTGGTATGGGTGAGCTGCACTTGGAAATATACACAGAGGTGTTGTTTTTACTTTTCTTTTATTGCTCTATATGTTAATGCGTTGGTATATGATTTCCTTTAATAATCGCTATAATACAAAAACGTGGGCATTCATGAAAGTAAGAAAAACATTTTTTTACATCATCTGTTGATATGTCGATACCTCTTGTATATCCAAGTAATTTGGAAACTGTTTGAAAATTCCGTTCAGAGAATGAAAACAGAATATAATTGTCCTGTGATTTCTGGTAAACCGAAAGTTGCTTTTAGAGAGACTATTGGAAGCTCTATAGAGTAAGTAAAAAGTCTGAAAAATAATGTTTTTTTGAAGGTTGCTGCACTTATTAGCCATTTCCCAAACGAGCAGGGTACTGGGTCTATGGATTGTTCTATGGACTGCATCTATGGAGAGACAGGACTGAATCTGCGTCAGGAAATCAGAAAGTCTGAGATTTTTGCGACTAGACCCAGTCCCTGCTCAATTGGAAAATGGCTAATTGGTATTCTCGTTATGTTTTATCCTGTCTGATGTTAAAGTACATTAGTGCAGTATCTCACAATACTATTGCAATGAACTGAAGTAAGTTACCTTGACCTACACTTTCATTTGACTTTCGAAAGTACGTTTCACTAAGCTGTCAAATCTTTACGTTGCTGAAATAATTCTCGGAATTATTTCTCTATCATACTTTTCTATGAGAGGCAACATGTATATAAAATTCAATTTCTGACTGACATTAGAAATAAATAATATGATACGTTTTAACTGTTCAGATTTGATTACATTCATAAGAAACAAAGTGGAGGCTCTGGGCAATATGGACGGGTGATTGGAAAAGTCGAGGTAATGGGAATCTTTCGTTGTATTCCGGGCTATAATGCCTACATTCATACAATCGTCAATCAATTTCACGTGATCTGATATGTTGAATTCTCTGTCAGTTGTATTCAGTAAAAATATTTTACCCGATTTAGTTTCTTTTCACGTGGATCTAATATTCCCAGCTTTTAACCACCCATGAACGGCAACTGTAACCGTGACGCCGTATAAAACAGGGAGCAGAATTGAGTGCATGTGACTCATGCGAGGAAAAAGTATTCTCATGCATGCTCAACCTTGTACTCAGGGTCTTTTAACTACGTACGAGCTTGATGCATGCTTCACTTTCGTTTTCATTGACCATCTGTGGAAACCTGAACATAAATCTGAGGCATCTCAAATATATACTGTCATCACTGCATCTACAAAAATCTGAAATGTTTTTATTCCATTTAGCCTTTGCCAGAAAAAGAATACACAAAAGTAGAATTTGACGATGCAACGATCGGAATGAACATTCCAAAAAATTTTATTCCTTCAATTGAAAAGGTAACAAACGGAATTATATATTACCTATCCGTACAGCTTTGCTACCTGTAAATTGGAATTCAATTTTATGTGATCTTTTCTCGCCTTAGGGATTTTACGAGGCATGCGATAGAGGACATTATTCAGGACATAAGATATCTGGAGTAAAGTTCGTTCTTATTGACGGTTAGTTTTCCGTGCGAAGTTCGCTAGTAATGACTAATGGCAAAATTTTTAAAAAATCAGGCGGTTATAGTTGAAACTTTTCGTACGAGGTTTAAATCCTGATAACAGAGTCCTGATGCCATGCATGAAGGGTTTGATTATAACAGCCAGGCTGGTGTGTTCTTATGCACGTGTATTTTTATTATTATTATAGTATCTAAGGCCTGTTTCAGACGTCGAACTTCTCATATGCCGAATCTAATGTTAACGAGCTGAAGAGTAAAGTCTGCTAATTTGCATTCGATTCGGCATATGAAAAGTTCGACGTTTGAAACGGGCCTAAGAGATTTATTTCAACATTAGTTTTTATATGGTCTCTCATTCTCATATGAAATCTGTCACAACCTAGAATATTACATCTTTTACCACACTATCTAACATTATCCTCATGCAACCGAAAAGCTATTTATTTTGTATCCTTATTGATGTACATTATTTTGTATGGAATCGCTGGTTTCGACAGGTGCCGCTCATGCAGTTGACTCAAGTGATATAGCCTTTCGTATGGCTGCAATTGGCGCGATGAGACAAGGTAATGACATTTTAGAAATCGCGGATCAAACGATTCTAGAATCCCTTGAATCCTTTGCTAAGTTTGCTTTGATGACTAGCGTTAGAATGAACAATCAGAATTGAGGTCTGCCATTTTTTCTCTGTTGTCATATTACGGCTGATAACATAAAGATGGTATTAGGATTGTTTTGTTTTTAACGACGCGAGATTTATTAAATCCACTGTCTTTGTATTTGCTTATTCCAGCAATGTCATCAAGTTCCCCTGTTATCCTTGAGCCAGTGATGAGTGTTGAAGTTAATGCTCCCATGGAATTTCAGGTGCATTCTTTCGAAGCTATTTATTAATTATTTTCGATGGGATCGTAAATTGTTTAACCAATCAATCTGATGTTGTTTAGGGTTCTGTCATAGCAGGGCTGAATCGACGGAATTGTGTAATTACGGGAACAGATGGTAGTGAGGGATATTTCACATTGTACACAGAGGTATATAGGTGGTGTCCTTTTAAATGAATGAGTTATAAGCCATTCCGAAGTTGCAGTAAAGGATTGGCAATAGTGATATTAACAATGCAACACGAGGCTGTTTTGGGGACAAACATTCTGTTTACGTTCTTAAACCAGTTCCTTAATGCTACGTCGGCCTCACTATCACCAGTCCACTAACTTCGGAATGCAATTGTTGGATAACACAGCCTATCTGTTTACTAATTTTGTCATGTTATAAATATTTTAGCTCACAAATTGATAACTTTTTTAGGTGCCACTTAACGATATGTTTGGCTATGCATCGGAATTAAGATCACTAACACAGGTAAAATGAGGCACAAATCCAATTTGGTAACCATGACCGTTTTACTGCACCAAAATTCATTTACTTTAACGTAATATTGACTTTCGTAGAGTTGGTTAATGGATATATATATACATATATATATTGGTACGCTGGCGTACATGCGTTTTCTCGCTGTAAAATGATACAATACAAGTTCTGTTTTCTTAAATACACACAATTTTTCATGTAATCCTTTCACTCTCTCTTAGAAATACATAAGAAAATATATACTATTTTTTGGAAAAGGCCCTGTTGGTCTACAGTCATGACTTTCATTGTGAAGAAAATAATTAGTGTGAATTAGTCAATTACTGACCACCGTGAATCATAGAATAATTGTGGCAAATTTTAACCTCCCGCTCATTGAGTGTGCATGGATGGTCTTTTAGATATTCGGCTTTTCCACTACGTCGTCGAAATTCAACTAATCCCTTCTTTATTATCAACTAGGGAAAAGGTGAATTCACCATGGAATATTGCAAGTATTTACCTGCCTCACGTCAGATACAGGCTGAGTTGATCGAAAAGTACAACAATCAAAGACAGCAAAAAGCAAAAGCCAGATAATACACACCGCCACATGCAGTGACGCGGGTATATCCTTCCTTCCAGCTCACATCCTGCTTACTCATCTCAAGCCAAGCCTTACTACGAAAGAATCTGTCAACTCAAGCCCAGGGATACGAGAAATTAAGTCGGTTGAGATGAAGGAATTTTATCTGATGGTGCATGTATAGTGGTTTAAAAGATTGTTATCACTTCGAATGCTCTACCACAACAAAGGAAATGCTATTATAGAATGAAAAACACTTTTATTTATACAGATTTATTTTAATAAACGTAAAGGCGACCGCTATATTACTTTTTGTTTTATGTATCCTTTCACATTGTCTTGTCGATTGCTTGGCTGGTTTCCAGCCTCAGAGAAAACCAGAAAACGTTCAGGTGGTAAAATGCATCTTTATCAATTTGCGCCCCTGAGATAGGATTTTGTCAGATTAATGTGAAATCCATAAAGAAAACAATTGCTATAAAATCGTTACTATATATTTATGAAAAAATTGTGATATATATAAATCATTATAAATTATATACAAACATTGGAAATATTTAAAGTAATGACAGTTGCACGGCGCTGGTTGAGCAGATCGCTTTATGTTTGTTTACTGCTGTCTCCCGTCAGATATATTTCACCCCATGCATGCAAGTTTTTCAGTTGGTCGGGGATGATCATGTTTGACTGACTGTTAACATGGGTGCATGATGATAACTGCAGGATTTTCATGATTGACAATATCCAACGTCGTCGGTCTGTTCGCGGGGTATACTGCATGCATGGCTACAGCTTTTTTATCTGGTCATCATTGTTCAGCGAACGGATTATAGCAAGCTGCGGGGTGATCTTGGTTTGTGGAGTGATGGTTGTTTGAAAGTCCAACTTCGATCGCCCGTATATCCTGAGTTAAGGTGGGTTCAGCCTTCAGCGGGGTATGGTTGGAAGACTGAGCATTGCTGATTCTCTCGCTAACTGCCTGATGTCGCGTAACCCGACCAGTTGCAGATTGCTTTGCCATCTTTGAACCACACACGACGTAAGAACCACGACGTTTACGAAAGATACCGCGGAAAAAGCCTGACACTCTTTCAGTGAATGATCGTGAAAGTCTCAGCCTTAAATATACATGGTGTTAATGAAATTAGTTGAATGTAGTTTTTTTTTTACTTTTATATGAATTTTAGTTGAGTCACTAAATCGTCCATGTCATTATGGTCAGAGGCAAATCAATGAATTAGATCAGATTCACATGCATGCTTACCATGTAAAAATGATGGTAAAAGTTTAAAAAAATTAAACCCATGCAGAGATAAATGGAAATTATACACTGGTAATTGACGGGAACGAATTGACATTATATACATAGACACTTACCAAGAGTGTTTTGCGACTTGTTTTAGACTTGGCCTATTCTTTGGATTCATTGCGAATAATTTCGTAAGAAGGTCTTTGACTTCTGTAAGAGAATATGCGTTTGAGTATTACTTGTAGTCTTGTGGCAGGTAATTGGTCAAACGTGGTGTTCATTAGTTTAAAACGGTATCCTATTGGACTGGGTGCTGTCAATATAAGTGATATAATTGAAAGCAGACCTGCAATGGAAAAAACTATTTGCACTGCTAGGCTATTTTTATTTTAATACCATGCATGTGATAAAAAAAACTAATTTCAATTATTGGTGTTGCATAATACTTTTAACAAAATTTTACACTTGCCTTCAGATATGTGGTCAAATTTTGGCAGTCCCGCTATGACATCTGAATACGTGTTATAATTTGTATAAGGCGCTCGACCATACAGCATCTGATATATTACAACTCCAATTGATCGTACAGCCTCTTTTGAAGGATCATATTGTCCATTTATCACATATTCTGGTGGCACATTCATTTCACTGCCTGATGGGGATAGAGAAATGATTATAGCTATAATATCACCAATTTATATATCTGTGATCTTAATTATTATCACTAGAAAGTCGATAAATACATAACCCGCACAGAAAATAAATTTCCCTTGAAAATATAGGCGTTGCCGCAAGGCTGACGGAATTGGTGATAAGTCGAGCAATTGGTACTCGCGAGTGTCGGGTAATTTTTCCTGAAATCGTTCGTCTGCGTCCCTCCCTCCCTCCCCGGTTTTGGCCCGTCCACCTATGCTTGTCACATTTGTTTTTTGTCTGGTTATATGTGTAACTTGTAATCATTGTATGATGAACACTAACCACAATATTCGTCGAGGACTTTGCCAGATTTATGTTTTGAGGCCAATCCAAAATCAATTAGCTTAATCTCATCTGTGTCGAAGTCGTAGAGAATATTCTCTAATTTGATGTCACGATGAACGATGTTTTTCGTCTGCATTGCAAGTTCAACATCAAGCAACTTCGTGATATATTTTTTAGTTTCATCTTCGGTAAAGAACCCCCCTTTATCCTGTCGAAGGTCGAATAAGTCTTGACAGTGAGTGGGTCGCTCACAGATAATAACAAATACATCAGGAGAAATCCTTTGGCAATGCAGGAACGTGATGACATTAGGATGTTCCTTCATTTTCTTCAGGTAGTAGACTTCACTTGGCACAAGACCTAAGTCTTTATCCTGAAAAAAAAATCAGTCAACAGCTAGGTTATATATAGTAGCTTGGAAAAATCCCTTTCAGAGAACTTAATGCCACGCATGGAATACACAAAATGGTACTCGCCTTGCAATACTCTTCGACTGAAATGTATTTCACAAATTTCACAGCAACCTGCAGAAACACATAGTATATCTCTTGAAAGAAGGCTACTGAATACTATATTAGTACAAAAGTCACGCCCCTAAATGATCCCTATAACACAAGGACGTTTAAGACTACACTTTCTTCTCTAACTGATCGATTATGAGTCTTTTATTATTATTATTATTATTGTATTTTTATTATTATTAGTCGTATGATTTACAAAACTCACGGGTGTCTTCTTTTCTCCTTTCATGGCGTAGCCTTTATAAACCGAACCATAACCACCCTTTCCGATTAAACCATTTTCAGCATAATAGTACATCGTATCTGAAAGTAATGAACATTGTTAACCCGAATATGTCATTATTTTTAATTAATTATCTATGGCAGTTATTATAAGCTGCAAAAGGACGGTAATGATGAAACTTGTATAATTGTTAATGAGGTAAGATGAACTGCCTCAAGTCGAAACGGCTTGGGGAAGGCGAATACTTTGTGAAAAGAGGTGGAATACTTAGTAAAAAGAAGTGGAATGGTTTGTTGCAGGGCCGCGGAACCATTTAGAAAGTGGGGGGGGGGGGACTGACAAAAAAGAGCACTTTCTCAATTAGAACTATATCACATCTTCAAAGACAGTGAAATTCACTGAATTACACTGTATGTAATTATTAATTACAACTGCAATGCAACATTTTGCTAAATACAAATCTCCACTGAGTCTGAGTTCATGTACTACAATTAAACACAGATTTAATGACTCAAAGAAGGGCACGTTTGCTTGAAAAAGGGGGCACATTTTGGTATTTTCAAAAGTGTGGTGGGGCACCGTGCCCCAGTCCCCCCGGTCCTGTGGCCCCTGGTTGCAGACCTAAACAGGGAAAGGGACATGAAAAAGCTAGGCATTTATTTATTCCGCTAACCGTCTTACCTTTTGAGCTGCCGACTTGAATAAGAGTTTCTCCATCAATCACTTTAGCTTCGCGGGGCCACACATACTCAGGTAATGCTCCGACTTGATTGTCTTGAATTATATTCCATTGAATGAGTTTCTCCCGGAAAATATTACGTCCTTTTACTTTAACATCGTTGATGCTTGATTTAGAAATATTGAAGGAAGGTCAATTTAATAAGTCACTCGAACGTGGCTAACTGCTTTGGAATTTTTGACAATGATCCTGTGGAAATCCTGTAAGCTAAGCTTACAGCCGGCATGCATGCGTAATTCTTAGTAGAGTTAGTATACAAGTCAGCATTGGGGTTGTGGAAACATTTGCATGCAATTAAAAGGGTATTTGTGATTTATAACAACAAGCCTAAGGAAAACGCATGGCACACAGCTTAAGTTCTTCAAAGTATAGATTGAAACTCACCTTCTGTTAGCGGTATCTTGGAACGCGCTGGTATACGTAGGAGACTGAAGCTGTAAACACAAATTACAACGATATTTTATCGACATTTGTACTTCATCCAACTTTACCGCGGCGCCCAGAATTTGCTTGTTACCCTAAATAAAACTCCTGCATGGTTGTGTCAATACTTACCTTGTTCTCCGAATGTGGGGCTTGAGATTGACGTTCGGATGAAGACTTACAGGTTCTGAAATTATAATTTATTCCATGAAAAAGGCTTACAAATGTCCTCAGTAAATGCATGGATAATAAAATCACTAAAACTATCCATGGTAAATGTAATTAAGAACTACCATGATTAATAAATGTTTAAGTTCGTCCATAAAAAGGACTACTTCTCACCTTTCATCCATGGCCAAGTTTACTATTCCAATAGAGACCAAGCTTTCTATCTGTAATGATATACATAAACCCAGTTCATTAATTGAAAAGTCCAGTTATCTTTTACGCATAGATAAATTCTTATACCTTTTGAATAGACGGCTTGAACTCTGGACGCGGAACATAATAATCAGACCACATGGAGTGGAGACTACTATATATAAAAGAAAGACTCAATGTCTATATCACAGTAATGCATGCGTAAAGATTTGGTTTATGTGTTCTATTGAAAATTATTGGGACATGCCTTTGTAAAAACACCTTTTTAGGGCCGTTTAGAGACTAAGCAGGCCTCGGAACAATATTTCGGTAAAGAGCCGCCTGTTCGATGTGACATTCATGTTTCATGTTGGTCTAGGATAGCTTGGCTGCATGTTTTGGTTTATTTTTAAAACTTACCATTCTCTCGGGAAGCAACTGTTTGACTAAAAATGGAACATATTACATTTAACTATTTTACTTTATTATTTTATATATTAATAATTTTATTCTATTATTATTATTTTATTTCTTACCTTGTAGTTTTCAGAAGCCTGAGATGCAACTCGATGTTCAAACGGATAACGGATACTCCCATTCGAGCTCCCATAACTGCGGACAAATTTGTATGAGAACATAGTATGTATTATGTATATTGAAGGTTCGAAAGTTGAACCGTGTGTCATGTACAAAAAAATTAAAGTGATTACCTTGTTGTCCTCAACGATATTTTAAACGCATTATCTGACGTAGAGCCGGAATACGTCAACGCGTTCTGTAAATAAGCGGAACATTTTAGTCATTATTTCAGGCAAAAAAAGTAAAGAGGGGGTGAGGTTGGTTAGGTTGGATTGCTCATCGGTTCTGCTCATTAGGATTAATGTGAGGGTGATGCGAATTGTGAATTGTTTTGAATTTTTCTGAGCCTAAACTCTCTACTGAAACTGTTCTGTTCATGTTCATTCGAAAGCAAAGCGAACTGAAATGGTGTTAGACATCCGGACAGAATATTGTAATTTAAAAAGTACCGAGGTTCTGAATGTAAACAAAGCGCTGACTTGACACAGCGTTTTCCGAAAGTTTAACTGGTTCTCACCTCGTGAGGAGAATTCTGTATTTTCTCAACAGATACTGTTACACTCCTAAAAATAAGAATAAACAAGCCTAATTTTACAAGAGAAAAGATAACTCATTATACCGTTACTCCACGTTTCATGACCGATGAGCGATTTTGCGCAAAATAATACTTTAGACTTTTTTGCTGTTATATGCATTTATTAATGTTTTACTGATCTAAGTTGTCAAGTCATAGAATACAAAGGCGTTTTTAGAATGATGCGTATTTTAGATTACCAACAGACTGTTTGTACGATACGAACTAATTTGTATCTGAGCAAATATTTATCATCTCCCAGAAAAACCCAATCTAAACTTGCAAAGTTTGTTTACGTCGCTTAGAATTGAGTCTTTAATAAGTTCGGAAATTGGTGCTAGTTTTAGCTTCAAACTTCCAAACAACTTTCGCAAAAGTATACAAAATTGTCCGTATTTTTCATTACCTACAATAAAGTTTTGCAAGGCTACAATTTTAATTTGCCAATTCTAGATGCGGTGACTTTTTTGGACTATTTCGATGGCCTTGCTTGCCTGGGTGAAAACTAGTCTATTGTCAATCCAGATAACCTCGCGACCCAAAGATACATAAAAGACCTAACACATAAACCATAACATTATAATACATAATTTTGGACTGGATCAATATTAGTACCAATACTTACATATTTACTCGATATTCCCAATATAAATTTGATTAAATAATCGCTTTAGAAAATAATTTGCAACGAACGAACTTTGCGAAATGTGAACCTCTCGAAAAAAATCGATAAGTGAACAGGCAGTATTGTTGACGTAGTTAATTAACATTTTGCGCGCGCGCGTTTGATTTTCGCTGACAAAGAGTTTCATTGAGCCAGCGGCTTCGTGAATTCTTGGGTTTCATGTGAAGTCATAATTCCAGTGGGGTTCATGTCGAAATCGAGACACAATAAATTGAAGCACAGTGATTGGAGTGAATTAATTGTTCATTGTTTGTGTTGGCTTTGGCGCTTCGTAGCAAAATTATATACACAAATTCGTATCTTTTGCTCACTGCTGTTCAGCATAAGGGTCGAAGCAATTAAGGTTGACCCCACTCAAATCACTATGAAAACAATACGTGATAAACCCACCAAAAGCATACATATATTATATCAATGGTGAAATGGTGAATAACTACATTTATCCTCATATTTCCTTGTTTAAACCGTTATCCCACAATATCCCCAAGGTACCTTAAATCACACCTGAGGTTCATGAATTCCCATTGCAAAACACTTGACACCCTCAATGATTCAAAGAAGAACTTCAGAAGCCATATCTATATTAAGTTTTAAAAACTTAATACAGTATTTTCAACACTGAGCACTCAATATGAATTGAGAAATCAAAAGAACATGGAGGAAGCATTTGATGTACCTCCAATGGATCTCAAGGCTTCTGCCGAACAGGAGGTTCGAAAGCTTCAGGACATGGTGAAAAGATTGGAAAAACAGAATGAACTACTTCGAAATAGCTCCAGTCAAAACGGGACAGCCATAATCACATTACCAAAGAGAGACAGCGTAGAATTAGAGGAAGTTGCACTTATAAATTTGAATGATTCCTCCGATGACTTGGAGGACAGCTGGTATTAATATTATTACAATCTTGTCCATATAAGTTTATAGTTATTAAACTGTACAACACATAATAATACTGTACACATATAGTAAAACTATATTGCCGAATTTTAGGCACGTATCTGTTGCATAATAGCTCGTAGTTGCATCATAGGGATTAGTCCTCAAAATACACACTACAGAATTTGCCCCAAATCCTTGGCACCCTACAAAGGTTATCTAGGTGATATTATATGTTATATGTTCTCTTCCTTGTTTTGATTGGACCAGATTAGTTGTATATGGTTCTTATCATGGTACATGTGATTGGATAAACGCATGTACAAATGTCTGATAACAAACAATTAACATATAAACTGCACCATCAGCACATTATTCTTTAGAATTTGCTTGAGTGCACATGAAACAATAGATTGAATACTAGGCAGGCAACATAATTTATTGTTATTTGGCTAGTTTTTATTGACAGAAAATTTGGGTGTCAATTGGGTAAAACTAATTGTGAGAAATTTCAGTATACTATTGATACCAGTATATGTAGTTTTTCTAATATATTGATGCTGGAAGATTTACTGAACACAACCTTGTAGTTTCAAAAATAGAGCAATATTTTCGTTTAACATAGGTTGTATGAATCACCTGTAAGACCAGCAACTCCCGCACAAAAGTCAATCCCTTCCTTGAAGTGGACTAAAACATCAAGTGTTAGTGGATTAGATGATGTCAGAGGCAACTTAATTGATAAACTGGATGACATTGAGACACAACAAGGTTTGTAATACTTGCTACATTAGAATCATAGTATTAAAAAACAAGTGAGTGTGCATTTCCAGGTTTGAATTTCTAAACCTATGATATGGTCTACTAATTGGGAACATCAAGGCATTGAACCAACAACCTCTAGTTTTTTTATCAGCTGGACTTGGCAACATTAACTAAGACTAGTCAGTGGCATAGCGAGTCTGACCATTTATCCTGCTGTAAATAATAATATTAACTGGAAATTGACATAGCTGGACAAAATCATCAAGCTGGCTATGCCACTGAGACTTGTAACTGGTAAGGTCAGATAAGTTTGAACAAGCCAAAACATTAACATTGCATACATAAATGTTTATGTCAACAACTTATTCTATGTTTTTACCAAAAATTATCAGAAATATCCAAGGTTAGAGTTACACAGAGTCAACATGATAGAGTTATGTCAACAAATGCACCAAAGAATTCATTATTTTTCCAACCAACTGCTAAGACTCCAAAAAGTAAGTTTCCACTATTATAATTACCTTGGCTATATTTTATCAAGGGAGCAAAGGTACCCATGACTCTGCCCACTTCTTATGCAGAGAGAGTTTTACGAGAAGCTCACACTGTTTGTTTCTGAGGGTGCACTCTCTGTATCACTTGCGTAGCTGTAGACATTTATCACAATGGAATCATGTGAAATTTAGGAAAGGGTATTTTAAAGATCTTTTGAGGAAGCATTTTCAACCCCTTATAAAAACTGTAAGCAATTCATAAAACATTGATACATGAGGTCTGCTAATTTATTTTTCTTGATTTTAAAATTCCTTAAAAAAAAATTATACACATGTAATAATATTCATGTAATATTCTATTAGTAGTTTCTTTAGAATTGTTGCATTATGTTGATATATCAAACTGGTTGTCTAGTATGTCATATATCATCCACAGCACTGTATACAATATTTTTTATATATAGAAATAACAGCTGATGACTATATGCATGATAATAGTCAACTTGATAGCAGTGCATATGGTAGTATGGATGAAATGGATGATATTCCAACAGGTCTGTTTTAAACATACTTCAGACTCAGTTAACAGAATAAATTACTATTATTTATTTATTATAACTGAATTGCTTTCTTGGCAATTATTTATACTGTACATAGGTCCTATTTTACGACGTTCAGCACTTGGTAATAAGGACAATTCTAGTACTAATCCTCAAGACAACACAAGTATGTCCCTGTCAGAGGATTTAGATGATGAACCACAAGGTTTGTTTGCTCCTAGTGAGGAATATAAGATACATGTTATTCCACATTGTAGTCTCCAGTGAGGTGTATCGCTTTCTCGTGAATTTTTTGAATATTCAAAAATTCACTAAAGTTTTTACACTCGGAAACAGCCAGAGCATTTTGAAAATAACCGGATCGTATTGCAGGCTACGGATTAAATGTTTATCTGTTTCTATCCGTTCTGTAGGTCCAATATTACGACGTTCTGGACTTGGTAGTGCAGCCAAACCAACTCCAAATTTATCCCAGTCAGAAAATATTGACGATGAGCCGAAAGGTTGGTTATTAGAAATTACTCCTGCAGTCAGTATCATCTACTGTTACAACAGGGTGAAGAGATTCGTGAATTTGTGAAGATCCATTCTGCTTGAAATCCTCAGCCTATGACTCTCCAGGAACATTTTTTTAGAATAAAATTTTTACAGTTTATTGTGTTCAGAGCGCATGTCTGCCGTAGGATCGTCAGTAAACTATGCGTTTTATTGTCACAAAATTAGTTCACTCGTGCTTTTTATAGGCCCAATCTTGCGAAGATCAGCTCTTAGTAAAAACAGCCCGCCTAAAAGTGAACCATCAAATATCTCTCAGTCTGACGATATGAATGATGAAACGCAAGGTGAATGGTGATTACAGTTGTCAGAACTGTGTGATCGCATCTGTTATCGTTTTCGTAATGTGGACTCAACAAAGAATTTAAAATCTTCACTCGTTATCGACTTTTGAGACACTAAGCATGGGTGCAATCTCTAATTAAAGCAATTCGTCTATTCTTACGCGAACCTTCAACTTCAAGTTTTTAATGAGATTATTTTGAGAATTAAGTCAAATCAGCTCATTGAATTATGGTGATGCTAGTTAAACTTAAAGCCGGTTTTCCACTAGCGATATTTTTCGCGCGAAGCGACTTTATTCCTTTGTATTTGAGCAATTTGTTCCAGATGGTTGCAGTTGAGAGCTCTGAAACAAAAGTAAAATGTCGCTTCGCGCGAAAAATATCGCTAGTGGAAAACCGGCTTTAAGTTTAACTAGCATCACCATAATTCAATGAGCTGATTTGACTTAATTCTCAAAATAATCTCATTAAAACTTGAAGTTGAAGGTTCGCGTAAGAATAGACGAATTGCTTTAATTAGAGATTGCACCCATGCTTAGTGTCTCAAAAGTCGATAACGAGTGAAGATTTTAAATTCTTTGTTGAGTCCACATTACGAAAACGATAACCGATGCGATCACACAGTTCTGACAACTGTAATCACCATTCACCTTGCGTTTCATCATTCATATCGTCAGACTGAGAGATATTTGATGGTTCACTTTTAGGCGGGCTGTTTTTACTAAGAGCTGATCTTCGCAAGATTGGGCCTATAAAAAGCACGAGTGAACTAATTTTGTGACAATAAAACGCATAGTTTACTGACGATCCTACGGCAGACATGCGCTCTGAACACAATAAACTGTAAAAATTTTATTCTAAAAAAATGTTCCTGGAGAGTCATAGGCTGAGGATTTCAAGCAGAATGGATCTTCACAAATTCACGAATCTCTTCACCCTGCACGTAACAGTAGATGATACTGACTGCAGGAGTAATTTCTAATAACCAACCTTTCGGCTCATCGTCAATATTTTCTGACTGGGATAAATTTGGAGTTGGTTTGGCTGCACTACCAAGTCCAGAACGTCGTAATATTGGACCTACAGAACGGATAGAAACAGATAAACATTTAATCCGTAGCCTGCAATACGATCCGGTTATTTTCAAAATGCTCTGGCTGTTTCCGAGTGTAAAAACTTTAGTGAATTTTTGAATATTCAAAAAATTCACGAGAAAGCGATACACCTCACTGGAGACTACAATGTGGAATAACATGTATCTTATATTCCTCACTAGGAGCAAACAAACCTTGTGGTTCATCATCTAAATCCTCTGACAGGGACATACTTGTGTTGTCTTGAGGATTAGTACTAGAATTGTCCTTATTACCAAGTGCTGAACGTCGTAAAATAGGACCTATGTACAGTATAAATAATTGCCAAGAAAGCAATTCAGTTATAAAAATAAATAATAGTAATTTATTCTGTTAACTGAGTCTGAAGTATGTTTAAAACAGACCTGTTGGAATATCATCCATTTCATCCATACTACCATATGCACTGCTATCAAGTTGACTATTATCATGCATATAGTCATCAGCTGTTATTTCTATATATAAAAAATATTGTATACAGTGCTGTGGATGATATATGACATACTAGACAACCAGTTTGATATATCAACATAATGCAACAATTCTAAAGAAACTACTAATAGAATATTACATGAATATTATTACATGTGTATAATTTTTTTTTAAGGAATTTTAAAATCAAGAAAAATAAATTAGCAGACCTCATGTATCAATGTTTTATGAATTGCTTACATTTTTATAAGGGTTGAAAATGCTTCCTCAAAGATCTTTAAAATACCCTTTCCTAAATTTCACATGATTCCATTGTGATAAATGTCTACAGCTACGCAAGTGATACAGAGAGTGCACCCTCAGAAACAAACAGTGTGAGCTTCTCGTAAACTCTCTCTGCATAAGAAGTGGGCAGAGTCATGGGTACCTTTGCTCCCTTGATAAAATATAGCCAAGGTAATTATAATAGTGGAAACTTACTTTTTGGAGTCTTAGCAGTTGGTTGGAAAAATAATGAATTCTTTGGTGCATTTGTTGACATAACTCTATCATGTTGACTCTGTGTAACTCTAACCTTGGATATTTCTGATAATTTTTGGTAAAAACATAGAATAAGTTGTTGACA